AAGCGGGTCCCACATGATAATAAAATAATATTAAAAGTTTAGGAGAAATTACGAAAATGCCATTGGGACTTTCCTATAAATAGGGAAGCTGAAAACCATAATTTTCATCCCAAATCTTCTTCTCTTCTCTCTTCCTCTCTTATACACCTTGAGATCTGTTCTCGGTAGTAGTAGTCTCCTAATTCAAAGGAGTAAGTTATAGAGAGAGAAGTGTTGTAATTTTCTCCCTTTCAGTAAATAATATTTTTACTGTGGTTATTTTCTCCCTTGTCTCTTTTTTTACTCATCTCTTATTTTAGCTGTGAGTAACTATTAAGCCTACTCTGGACCTAACATATTAATCACAGAAAACTACACCTGGTTCGAATAAATTAAAAATAAAAGTTATCATGTTCTCTATATATATTTAATGACTTTAGAGAAAGTGTGGTATATATGCTTATTATATGTACGAACCTACTCAACACTTTCACTTTTCCAATATGCATAAATACCGAAAAGTAAAAAACAAAAAAAAACACTAACTAAAAATTAAAGTTGGTGTGGGGATGTAAAGACAAAATAGGTCCATCGTAGTCTTCTTTAACAGGCACCGTCGGATATAATATTAAACAATGTGTAACGTCGAAGACTATTCGACTTGACTAATAGAACAGTGGTACGTGTAGTACAGGTACAAAAGAGGTCTACTACGTCCAATATTTTAAACTTTTTTAGTCAGAATAAAAGTGGGAGACGTAAATTTTACCCAGAACATGCTGATATAAATTTACGTCGGAAATTATAAAATCCAACATAAAAAAATAATTAAAAAAAATTATAAAAAAAATATAAGCTTCGACGTAAAATGTCAAATTTACGTCGGATATAACATATCTCTGACGTAGATTTGAGTTTTTATGTCAGACTCTATCAAGTTCGACATAAAAAAATTTACAAAAATTATAAAAATTGATTTTTTTTAATCGAATTTTCGTATTTTCGACTAAAAAAGGTGACGTTATAATATGTTGATTTTTCACTAGTGGCGGTGCAAATTATCAGAAGCATATATCAGAGTAAATCAAGATTCTTAACTAGCTAGCTCCCACTAAATTGCCACATCATACATCATCTAGTTGATTAATTAGCTGATTTGAAATATAATTCCATGAAATGATTAAACATATACGGGCATTGTGATTCTTATTTGAGTAATATTATTTCCATGTATAGCACAATTAAGTTTTTACACGAAGGAGAGAATAAAAGAGAAGGATAGACATGACGTAAGATGGAAGGAAGACCTGATTATAGACTCTAACTCACTTAAATCATGGACTAAATAGCAATTCATAAAATTTTTAGAGCTGGTTAAAATATTTTTTTAATAATAATGTTTTTTTTAGTTCCTATAATTTTACTTATATTTTTAATTATTATAGTTTAAAATATATATTTTTAGTTAGTTTTTTATCTTTATTAATTTTTTGTCATATAATTTAAGATAATTTTTTTGTATTCATATATTTACTTTTTTTTTTTAATTATTTTAGCCATTGTTGTTAAGTTTTGAGTAAGGTCACCTCTTTTGTTTTGATGTGATAGAGATATATATTCAATTTTACAAGAGTAAAAAAAAGGAAAAAAGAATGTCTCAATAATGAGTGTCACAAATAAAAGGATAAAAATTAATTAGACATGAAATATCGAAAGACTTAATTTAAGACAATTCTAACAAAAGAAATTCGACATTAAAAGCACAAGTTGAATACTTTTATCATGTCAACAAAAAGAAAAATCACTTAAGCTAGACATCATTATAAAGAACTTAACAACAAAGACTATAAGGATTAGAAAGCTAAAAATATAAAAATTAAAAACAAATATCTTAAATTATAAGGACTAAAATTGATTAAAAAAGATAAGTATGGAAACTAAAAATATTTAGTTTTTAAACTATACAAACTAAAAGGAAAAGTAAATGAAACTATAAGGACTAAAAAAATATTTTAACCATACTTTTTTATTTTCTAGAGTTTAACTTACTTTATCTTTTAATTATTATAGTTTAAAATAGATATTTTTAGTCTTTATATTTATCTTTATTAATAATTTTTAGTTCTTATAATTTAAGATATATTTTTTTAGTCCTTATACTTATTATTTTTAATTTTTTTGGTTCTTGTCATTAATTTTTTTAATGTTGACTCTTTTTATTGCTTTGATAGAAATTTTTAATTTTGTGTGATAAAAAATAACGTCTCAAGAATGAATATTATAAATAAGGATAAAAAAGAGGTATATACAACATCAAGAAACCAAATTTAGGATTCAACAAAACAAAATTAATTCAACATTAAAAATACAAAATTGAATATCTTTATCATGTCAATAAAAAATAAAACATGACAAAAACAAAGTAGTAATGGCAAAGGCTAAAAGATTTTTAAAAAATTTTGCAAATATAAGAACTAAAAAGATTTATCTTAAATTATAGAAACTAAAAAGGATTAAAAAATACGAGTATATAAATTAAAAATATTTATTTTAAATTATAGTGACAAAATAAAATCAGTGAAATTATAGGGATTAAAAAAATATTTTAACATTATTAATATATGTGAAGTACTACAAAATATTATATCTAATCCTAATTATAAGTAATAAATTAAAAAAAATTACTTAAATATAAACAACAATCATTAAATATAACAACTATTCAAGTATATTTAGAATAAAATTTAAATTTAATGTAAAATTAATAAAAATAATTATATTAATTATTTTTATATGTTCTATGTAAGACAGAAAGCAGGAATATTTTTTTAAAAAATAACTTATTGACAAGACCTGCTGCTATTTACCAGAACCAAGTCATATGTGCCAAGTCCCTTGTAAAATACGCACTAAGAATAATACAACTTATGGCATCCTAATAAGAAGTTAATCGATTGTTCAACACCTTCCAGCTTTTTTTCTTTTCTTTTTATTTCAAAATTTTATATATGGCTTATTTTATTATTGTAGAGATTTTGCAATGTCTCTCATCTTTCTTCTGTAGTTTTATATTTCCTTTTTTGTTGTTTATATATACTTTTTATTCTACTATTTGGATTTTGGAACTTAACTCGCCTGCGTTGGATTTGCCCCTCTTGTTTTCTAATGCACAAGCGATCTAGTTTCTAAAAGAAAGCATTTTACCATCATAGGATTCATCCTTCAAAATACAATTTCATCGTTCTGATAAAGATTAATATAATTCCATTCTAAGAAACAATACTGTTGGAATACAAAAAAGTCCCACATCGATAAAATAACACAACAAATAACAACTTATAATACAAACATACTTTAATGATTGAGAGGCCTTTTGGGTGATGACCAAAAGCAAAATCGTGAGGGCTAAAGCCCAAAGGGAACAATATCTCATCATTGTGGAGTATGTTTGTGTAATAACCCCCATAAAAATAACCCTCATAAAATATCGTCTCAGATAAAAATACTTCTATATATACCATTTGAAACTTTGCCTTCAGATCATATCATCAGTTTACCTATTTCCAAACAAAACTCAAAAGGGTTTCTCTTCCAACAATATAGTCATTGTTAACAAAGACATGGCTTCATTAGGCAAAAAGCAGCACGTTTTAGCCATACTTCTTCTCTCAATTTACACTTGCCATGTAATGTCCCGTAGCCTCCAAGAAGCATCCATGTCCCAAAGACACGAGAAGTGGATGCAAAAATATGGTAAGGTATATAAGGATGCTGCAGAGAAGCATAAACGTTTCCTCATATTCAAGGACAACGTTGAATTCATTGAATCCTTCAATGCTGTTGGGAACAAACCATACAAGCTTAGCATCAATCACTTTGCTGACCAAACCAACGAAGAATTTGTGGCCTTCCATAATGGGTTCAAGAGGCCACATGGACTAAGAATAGCAACACAAACACCTTTCAAGTATGAAAACGTCACTGATGTTCCTACTTCAGTGGATTGGAGGAAAAAAGGAGCTGTTACTCCAATCAAGGACCAAGGCCAATGTGGTAAGTAACACAAAGAAAAAATCATATAATACAACATATAAGGAATATTATTTATTTACAAAGAAAAATCTACTTACTTTAAGAGAAAATTTTGGTAAATTTATTTCACTTAATAGTTTATATTCTATATCAAATTTTAACAATTCCACTGTTGAGGGTGAGCCTTGGCGCAACGGTAAGGTTGCTGCTTAGTGACCAAGAGGTCACGGGTTCAAGTCCTGGAAACAGCCTCTCCGCTTGCGGGGGTAAGGCTGCGTACATCTACCCTCCCCAGACCCCACTAGGTGAGAGCCTCGTGCACTGGGACGCCCTTTTTCACTGTTGAATTAAGAATTTTTAATATATAAATCAAGTCTAAAAATTTATATATAGATGAAGTCTATAACTTTTTAAAAATTTAAAAATTATATGATATTTTGTTATATAAATTCGTATCAACGTATAAAATACATTTAAAATTTTTAATTCAATGACCAATTCCTTAAAATTTATATATTTAAGAAAGAAGAGAATCCCTCTTCTTTATTTATATATTTTCTTTTTTAACACTTCCATGCATTAAGTAAATTTTGGTTTCAAAACAGGTAGCTGTTGGGCATTTTCAACTGTTGCTGCAACAGAAGGTATTCACCAAATAACTACAGGTAAACTGGTGTCCTTATCGGAGCAAGAGTTAGTGGATTGTGATCATGTGGATTATGGATGTGATGGAGGTTTCATGGAAGATGGCTTTGAATTCATTATAAGAAATGGTGGAATCACCACTGAGGCAAACTACCCCTACACTGGAGTTAATGAGACTTGTGCCACAAACAAAGAGGCTTCTCCTGCAGCTCAAATAAAGGGGTATGAGACAGTTCCTGCAAATAGTGAAGAGGCACTGCTGAAAGCTGTTGCAAACCAACCGGTGTCAGTTACCATTGATGCTGCAGGATCTGCTTTTCAATTTTACTCAAATGGGGTTTTCACAGGAGCATGTGGGACTCAACTAGACCATGGTGTTACTGCAGTTGGTTATGGTAGCACTGATAATGGCACTGAGTATTGGATAGTGAAGAATTCATGGGGCACAGAATGGGGTGAAGAAGGATACATAAGGATGGAAAGAGGCATAGAGGCCAAAGAAGGCCTATGTGGAATTGCCATGGATGCTTCTTACCCCACTGCTTAGAAAGCTAGCGTTGCTATCTTATTTGTGTTTCAAATTTGCTTTATTTTGAGTTGTGAGTGCATGATGTGTAAGATTTTTAATTATTCAACCATTTATTTACGTCTTACTTGAGTAAAAGTTAACAAATGTGTGAATATTTGAGACTATGGATCACAGAACCAAAACTCGATCAGTATTCAAAATTGAACTGAGAAATCTTGTAGAGATTCTTGTTTTATAGATGAATAATAATGCTGAAATTTAACTTTAAAAAAATAAAGCTGAAATTAAGGAAACTAACTCCTAAATCAGTGGCTGAATTTAAATGACTGAGAATTCTAAATTCTCTTAATATGTTGCAATAATAACTTATTGTCTTATTCTACCTCTGCACTTGAAAGACCAACAATAGCTTTATTTTTTTTGTTGCACCAAGTAATAACTTCAAAACTAAACAAGAAGTAGTAGCCCGTGTTGAAAATATTTTGTGAAATATTTTTGAAATATTGGACCTTGCAAAGAATTTAAAATTAAAATTAAAGATAGAAAAATTGTCATCATTATAATCCGTTTTTATGTATAAGTTTACAACCATCAATTTAAAATTCCAAATAAATTTTACCTATTAATAATATTGTTTGTTGAGATTACATTAATTAATTGAAAACAAAATATAAAAAATAAAATTATAATAATAACACATTTTATCTAAAATTTATTCAAAATTAAGATAAAGAAAAATCTCATAAAAATACCTTGATTTGCATCACCTGTCTAGCTTGCATATGTGAAGCCAATCAACTTCAGTTCTCTGTTTCTTTCATATTTCATCCCAAATTCTTTTGTCTTCTTCACATATCTTATAATTCGTTTTGCAGCTATATATCCGATGAGGCCCTTGGGTTCAAGCACAAATAGAGAAATAACAGCGACAGAATATGCCGGATCAAGTATAGTAATATTCAAGTATAATAAACTTCCAGACAATTTTCTGTACAAATTTGGATTCTCCAATAATTTTCCTTCTTCCTTCAATATATAACTTTAGGTGAATTTCAAATTGGAGTTGCAACCTCCTTTACTTCATTCGTTTGGCACTGATTCAATTTTTCTTTAGCATAGCTAAACCGAGAAATAAAGTATATCTATCCACAAGATTTTCAATCACCAAACAAGAAACATTTGGCTTCCCTAAATTCTCAAGTTTATGGGGCCATCAAATTTCCTTTTCAAACTATACACCCTTTACATCTAACAAGTTCCCAAGTTTTGTTCTTTAAAAGTGCATCAATCTCTTCCCTCATAGGTTGCTTCCAATTGTCATTGTATCTTTCGCTTTTTCATAGCTACTTGGTTCCTCCTCTTCTTCAGGGCCAACAAAGAAAGTATGAGTGATAGAATAAGAACACTAATTTGTTCCTGTTTCATTGTCTTTTTTAAGTATGTTGGAGGGTATTTTCTTTTATTAGACCTTCTTACTTTTTCATTTGTTCCAGCTAGCTCAGTTGGCAACACTTATCCTTTGAACTCATCCGCCAAGACATCAGCATTCTAAGAAGAAATCTCATCAAATACCACATTTTGAGATGTGACAAATTCTTTTAAAGATCTTGTGATGGCAGAGTCAACTTTGTGAAGAAAATATTGTTTAAGCTAACACTAAGGCTTGCTTCAGAGATAGTAGAGGGGAAACTTTTGGACCATTAAGCCTCAATTCAGCTAAACAATAGATGCTTAAGTTAGTAAAGAGATACAGTTTTGCATCAACAAGTCTCACTTAAGCACAAAGCAATCACGCTTAAGTGACAGGACTTCTCTTAAGTGAGGTCAACGTCCAAGTGTCTTCACTTAAGTGAGGAATCAAACTCACTAAAGTGAGTCAAACTCTATTGATTCAAAATTTGATAAGTCTCCTTAGTAAAAGAATGTGTGCACTTTAAGTGAATGGTTAATATGAATTATTTTTACTAATGATATTTAAAGACCATTTTGAGAAGTTTTGAACTATTATTGATTCTCATAGTGATTTTCTTTAGAAAAAAGTAACAGTTGCAAAGCTCTTTCATGACTTCTACACCTATCTTCTTCATCTTTTCATCAAATTATTTTTCTCACATATCCATGAATAGCTAAATTCACATGTATTAAGGATTTATGTAGTTAAACCAAATTTCATGTACTCTTTTTTATTAGTTATTCATATTTCTTACTACATGTTAGTCCCCTTTTTTTATGTTCTTAATGTATATCGTGGATTCATTACTGTTGAGATTTCCGTTGAAGTACTTTTATTTATAATTAAGCGAGCCTTGAGGGAAGAACTTCTCGGCGGTCACCCCCGCGCTCCACAATGAGTCCATGTCGGCCGAGGCGCTCACGTGGTCCAATCGCACCTTTGAAAGGCCCTTCCCGAAGCGGTGGGCTAGG